AAAAAAATCATGGGAAAATCTGGTGCAACCTGTCTCATCTTTTTTGGAACTTATAAATGTAAAGACCCTTGGCCTCTCAGTATTCGCTAATTATTTTTGTTATCCACAAGTGTACGACGTGGTCATAGATAGTGACAAGTAAGGTCGTATTTTACAGAGATTGTAGTTAAATTAATTAAATACTAAAATAATGACGATTGAATATTTTTTAGATTAACGAATTCAGATGATGATTATTAACTAAGAAATTAAACTAAAAATTAACTTATCTGAGAAGTAAAACTTTGATCTAAATAATAAAGAAGATACAACAGATGTGTTAATATTAATCAACTTATGTTTTCTCAATAGTATTTGATCAGACAGTAAAATGAGTTCTCACTAGCTAAACATTGAATGAATAACCAAAGTTTAACTTAACATTTAGAATAATTAGAACGTGCAATGCGCATATTTGAGTTCTCACTGTTGATTTATGAACACTAAGAGCATCGCCAAGGTCTATAAATTGCTTTACTCTATTGACACATAGCCAGATAGATATGCTTGCCTGTTTATGCACTACACACGTTCAAAAACCAACGAGATAGGAAATTAAAAGTTAAATAAATTCTCTTCTATGGAGTAAATTGATAAGTAATTCATTTCATAATCCATTATCAGTTGGGTATTATATTAACAAGTCGAGCAATAAAAAATTATATAATTTTTTTTTCTTTTTGAGTCTTATCAAGCCACGTCAAACTGACTTATTAACTGAAGAGGTGTTAAACACGTACGAATTCGACTCATTTATCAAATAAGTCACAAGTCAAGCTCAATAACAACTTGTTCTGTGTAAGAGCTCGACATACAATGCAATATCTAAAGTCGTATCTCATTATTAAAAAAAAAAACAATTGTGCCTTCTTGCCCAGAAATACTTCCAATTCTTAAAAATAAAATAAGTTTTTGATTTTATTACACATATTTTCACTGTGCATGGTAAATATATTCTTAAAAAAAAAAAAAAGACTTATCAATTATGTGACTAAATAAATAAAATAAAATGAGAAAAGCCACAGCCAAACAATTTTATATCATCCACACACAAATGACACAAATGATACAAACAGACTAGAATACAACTGATTGTAGTGTCGGCGATAGCTAACATACAATCACAACCACACACTTACACAAATATTACCACAAAAATGCATCGACTTTTAAATCAAACAAAATACTTAAAATTTGGTGTATGGTCAATTAGGCATTGGCCAAACACGCCCCCATCTCCAGCTTATTCTGCACCAAGGGCCAGTCAAGGGCCAGTCAACTAGGCATTGACCGACACCTCTTTTGCCCCCAAACACTAAATCAAATCATACTTATGTCCTAATTTTATCATTACACGGCTTTAATTATTGGCTGCTGCAAAAATCCAAGAACCCCATAAACTCATGGTTGTTTATCATCTTTATGCTCCTCTCTATTCCAACAACACCTGTCACGAATTAAAAGAAAAGAAAAGAAAAATAGAGAGGTAATCAGTTGAAGTGCATTTGTCGAAAATTGAAAGTGCATTTGTCAAATCAGAAAACGATGAGTGAAGGATTTCAATTTGATAACAATATACAAGTTACAATAATATTATTGACTTGGCAATTTTACCCATTGTGAGAGCGCTAGCGAAGATGACGCCGGACAAGACAAAAACGATGAGTGAAGCTCTTTTTAGGATTGCGATCATCTTTCTGATGAAGAATTGTCCCCAAAAGCCAGCTAATATTGACACAGCCATCAAGTACAAAGCTGCCAAAACAAAGTGAAAATATGAACAGAAGTTAGTTTTGTAATTTTGTTTGAGCTGAATAATTATAATGCATTTCAGTTTTTTTT